TAATCATAGAGTAAATCTATGTTTAATATTTTAAAGAGCTTCCAAGGTTTTCCAAAGCTGTACCATTTTTCATTCCATTAGCAATGTATGAGGTTTCCAATGTCTCTGTATTCTCCCAAGGTTAATAGTATAGTGTCCATCTGTTTTTTATTTTTTTTTTTTTAGTAGTAATCCTAGTGGAGGTAAAGTGATATCTCAATGTGTTGTTTTGTATTTCACTGATGGATAATTACATTGAACCTCTTTTAATGTGCTTATTGACTATTTGTATATCTTTGAAGAAATTTAGATTCTTTTCTAATGTTTTAAAGTTGAGTTATTTGTCGTTCTACTATTGAATTGTAAAAGTTCTTTATATAAATATTTTATCCATTTTGTGAATTGTCTTTTTGCTTCCTTTGCTAATTTATTTATCCTTTGATGCACAAAAGCTTTTAATCTTTATGAAATCCAATTTATTTTATTTCTTTTTTTGTTTATTTATTTGTTATATCTAGGAATCCATTATCAAATGCAAGCCATGAAGATTTACACTTATGTATTTTWAAAAGAGATTTTATAGTTTCAGCTATTATATTTAGATCTTTGATTGATTTTGAGATGATTTTGTATATGGTAAATGTGGGTCCAAATTCATTCTTTTGCCTGTGGATAGCCAGTCATTTCAGCATTATTTGTTAAAAAAATTATTCTTTCTCCATTGAATAGTGTTGGTTCCCTTATTGAAAATCAGCTAAGCCGAGATGTATGGGTTTATTTCTGGACTTCAAATTTCATAGCTCTATATGTCTATTCTATGATAGTCTCATACTATTAATTACTGTAGCTTTGGAGTAAATTAGAAAGTTTGAGTCCTCCAACTTTACTTTTTCTTTTCAAGACTGGATATTCTGAATCCCTGCAAACCCATATGAAAGTCATTTATCTTGTCAATTTCTGCAGAAATAGTATTTTGATAGAAATTGGCTGTCTGTGGTTCAATTTGGTAATTAAATAATATTAAGTGTCTCAATTTATAAATATGGTATTTTCCATTTATTTGTTTTCTTTAATTTTACTTAATAATATTCTCTAGGGGCTGGGAATGTGGTTCCAGGGTAGAAATGCTTGCCAAGTGTGTGTATGTGTGTGTGTGTGTGTATGTAGTTTTCAGAGTGTATATTTTTTATTAAATTTATTCCATAAACATTTTATACTTTTTGATGCTATTGCAAATGATAAAAGGAATAGACTTTTTACATTATTCTTTTTAAAAACAAAATGACAACTTCAGTACAGTGGTACATACCTATAATCCTAGTGACTCAGAAAGCCAAGGCAGGAGGATCACAAGTTCGAAGCTAGCCTGGTTAACCTAAGGAAACCCTATCTCAAAATAAAAAATAAAAAGGGCTGGGGAGGTAGCTCAGTAGTAGAGCATCACTGAGTTCAATTCCCAGTATCACAAAATTAATTAATTAATTAATCAACTTATCAACTAAAGTACAAATGAAATGACATTTATTAGAGGTGCACCAATGTGATACGTATGTAAGCATGTATGTATATAAAATATGTAATATGTGTGCATATGTGTGTATATAAAATTTATTTATTTAATAGGCTGGCTGCATCAGGGAAGAAAAACCTATACTCTCTTCCCCTTCGGGTTGTTTATCTGGGCCCAAACTCCTGAGATTAGAAGATACTTTGAAATAAATATAATCAGTAAATTAATTTATGCTGCCCTTTTCCCCCCTAGATCAAATAGAACAAGCACAACCTCTCTGACTCAGGGAGGATATTTCTGAAGTTAAATTTATGCTGTATTATTGAAGATCTGGGTGATCTGGGAAATCCAGGAAGCTCTGAGCCTCAGTTGACTGAAGTATCAAATGAGGTTTTACTTTCTAGATTTACTTTATAGAGTTGTGATGATTCCAAAATACAGAAAACTCAAGGGAGCCACATAGGGACACCTCACCTGGCTGGAGCATAGGGCAGTTGGAGAAGGGGAAGTCCAAGAGTTCCCTGAACAGCTGAGAGGTCTCAAAGCTGTACAGATGCCATGCCCCATCCTCAGGAAGAAGGCATGACTTCCACTTTACACCTCTCCCATCTTAACTTCACTCAAACTTCCCTAAGTGTCTTCTTTCTGATATCAAACACATTGAGTGAGGAGTGCTTCTGCAAGGGAGGGAGTAGAACTCTGTCTGAGGTGGCTTGGTGTGGACTGCCTGAGCCTGGCCATTTGAAGGGGACATCCCCACAAAGGAGGATCCTGATGTGGATGTTGGACCACCCAAGTGGGCAGGTGGCCCAGTCATAGGGTGTAAGGCCCAAAGGAGAGTAAGGAAGTTACTGGAGAAGGCAAAATACCTGGCGAGCATGTCAGAGCCTAGGCCAGGTGAGGAGAGTGTGTACACAGGAGTGACTTGGCATGGGCTATCAGGAATCAGCAGTACTAGAGCAGAGAAATATGTTATTAATGACATTCTTTAGATTTGCTGGAGCAATGTGCCAACAACTTGTAGATTGTTTAAGATTTTCTATAGATAATGCACCCCCTTAATCCCTGCATCTTAAGTGAACAACTCCCCACTGCTGGCCTTTGGTATTCCTCAAACCAAAGTTTATATGGATAAACATAAATAAGTAGGGGGAAAAAAGAAAGTTTAGTGAAAAATGGGACCTTTACATAGCTTCAAAATACCTCCCCACAAATAGTTCTCAGAATCCTGGCACATAGCAAATGATCAAAGTAGACACCACCAGGATCTGAACAAATTGAAGTCACATGCCACCTGATGAGAAGGAGAACGTACCATCATTTTCATGGAATCTGACATCATGAATACTTAAGGGGAAAAAAAAATCCAAAGTGAGAGTCATTCTACACAGTAACTAACCAGTAATCTCTAAAAAGTGTTAAGACCCTGAAAGTTAAAAAAAAGATTGAAGCACTATTTTTTATTTAAGGAGAGTAAAGGGAAATGACAACTAAATGGGGCACATAATTATGAATCCTTTTCCTGTAGAAGACTTTACTGGGGCATTTGGTGAATTTTGCATAGGATCTAAGGTTATTTGGAGATAGTATACACTGTATCTGCAACTTTTCTATAAGTTTGGTATTGATTCAAAATAAAGAAAAGAAAAAGAAGGTTCCAAAATTTATACAACCTTATTTGGGCCACATGGGTGGTAAGTGGCAGCTCCAGGCAAACTCGGGTGTGTCTGCCTCCTACAGCATCACGCTCCTTGCAAACCACTGGCACTGGACATCTCAGCTAGTCTCTCTTCTTATTCAGCTGCACCTGGATTTGCTTCCCACCTACCCCAGCTCTATGCTAGACATAGCTACCCCATCCACACCTATCCAGAACCCACCTGAAGGGCATGTAGCAGCAGCACCAGGGCAGCTGAGAGTACTCAGTGATTCAAGGGGGTGCCACCTGGCTTCCTGTCCTAGGAGTGAGGTACTGCCAGCTGAGCTTCTAATGCCTAGAAGTTCTCCATACTTCCCAAGAATTTCAAGATTTTTCAAACTACATAGTAGGAAGCCTGGGGATTTTCCTTGTCTTGGTTCCCTGTGGTTACCATCTTTGCAGTTAGGAATTCCTTATTACTTAAGCAAGTCTAATAGAATATCTCATTAATTAGGATTTTAGATATCATTTGATCACTTAAAATCATCACCTTTGCAGTTACCTGACATCACCTATGGCCCCAAACAGAAACTGATGCTCTCCTGTGAACTTCCAGGCACTGTCCTGCCTCCCCACAGCTGAACCAGCTGGGACAGAGGAAAACGGAACATTCCACCTGTTTATCTGTCACTCTGCTCATATACCTATCAATTCAGCCACAAGGCCACAGGGGCAGGGGCTGGTAATCCTGGGGACTCAACAGTGAACAAACCAAAGGACAGACAGTATTCTCCAGTATTCAAACTGACCACCCTAAACTAGAGCCACCAGTCTCTGTACTGTTTGAAACCAAACCAAATGCACCTCCATCACTACCTAGGTAAAAGATTTCATCCTTTACTGTAGAAAAGTTGTTAGGAATAGAGTGGGTGACCTCAGGCGGAGGGAAATTCCCCTTCTTACAGATCTGGAGTTTTTCTTTAGGGATTCTGGGCTCTCTTCAAGTGTTCCTCCAGCATGAGGGCTCTGTGGGGAAATGTGATACGTACACGAGAGGCCCTCCAGGAAGGAGAGGCTCTTAAGATAGGGGCCTCTCAGGGACTGGGAGGAAGCCTGGCAGCCCACATCCTTATAAATGGTGCTCTCCACTCTGACTTGGAGGCAGAGATCCACCAAGACGGAAGCCTGTGTCTGGGTGAGCTGAGCCCCCATTTCCTGGTATATGGGTATATGGGCCCTCTCTAGCATAAGGATTCTAGGACCAGCCTAAGAGCCACAGTACTAACTAAGGGCCTGAGAAGGAAGGGGTTCCCCATCATTGACTGCTATATAGGGGATAGGCCATGGACCCTGGTCATATCTATCCATTCTGAGGTCCATGATTCCTTAGAACCCAAAAAGAGGCTAACTGGGAATTTTGAGGGACATATGGATTGCATTCCCATATCAGGGAGTGAAGGACAACTGGAAGGGATGGTTTCGGATTGTGTCCACAATACTGTAGTTCATCTGTAGGTCAGAGAGGTGCAATGAATGCCTCAGGGCCACACTGGGACATGCTAACAGAGAAGACACTCTGTGAGAACCAGGCTACTGACTCTCCAAAGTTCTACCCCTCACCTTCCCAAGGACTACACCACCTCAGATCAGAGGCATGGGATACAAGACCAGGCTAGATACTGGACGATGCTGGGAATTCCTGTGCATGGATAGTTTGGGTCTTCAGTTCTTCCCAGTACTCTTATTTGGACTGGATTGGCCCTCAGACTCTGCTATATTCCTGAATTCCAACAAATACAGCAAATGTAAAGGATTAAGGGGAGACATATGCAAATTCTACAGATGGGTCAGTGGCCCTTCTCTTCAGCAGGAGAAGCAGCTGGGACAGGAGCCATGTTGCTGTGCACTTTGGCCCTCACCCTCACCTTGATGGCAGTTTCTGGCATCATGATCAATGGGACAGAAGTTTGTGTTGGAAGCCCGGGTATCCCTGGCACTCCTGGATCCCATGGCTTGCCAGGCAGAGATGGGAGAGATGGTGTCAAGGGAGACCCTGGACCTCCAGGTATTGTGTTGGAGACCCCATCCTCCACTGAGGGGCAGGGACACATTTTTTAGGCCCCTTTGACCAGGGCTGTATGTTGGGTTTCAATACTCAGTTGGCTGGGACATAGTGGGGGTTTCCTAGGGCACTTAGGCTGGAACATCTGGAGAGTATATCTTCAAAGTGCCCATACAATGTTAAGTGAATTCACTCAGATGGAAGTTGAGGTCCACACAACCATGTCCTCTTCTCTCTACAGGTCCCATGGGCCCTCCAGGAGGAATGCCAGGTCTCCCTGGGCGTGATGGGTTGACTGGAGCCCCCGGTGTCCCTGGAGAGCGTGGAGACAAGGGGGAGCCTGGTGAAAGGGGTCTTCCAGGTGAGTGGGAGCCAGGGGAGAGGATGGGCAGGGGGGGACATGGACATAATGCCTATGCAGTCAGCAACATGGGGTAACAGAGGTGTCTGTGGCATACTGCTCAACCTAATTAATGATATGTGAGGTTGAAGACAGAAGTCAGAGGTGTTCAAGTAACGTGGTCACAATTCAGGGACCGATGGGTATAGGAAGTGTTCCATGCATTGGGACTGCTTATGGAGAGATAAAAGGTGTCAGGTGAAGGAAGAGGGACAACACTGGGAGTCATAGCCCTCCATGGGACTGAGGCTCTTGGGCATTCTAGAAGGTATACAGGGTTCTGTGCATGAGGGATCCAGGAAAAGGTTATGATCAGGAATCCCAAGTATGCAAGGGAACTCCATAGCTCTGAGTACTATCAAGATCTATCAGGAGAATGAAAAAGCAATCATATTCATCCTGGGTGGAAGATGGAGGAGAGGACCCTTTCTAGAGGTCAGAAAAGCACTCAAAGGTGGGCAAGCAGAGCCATTCAGGAGATATGACATGAAAGAAGAGCAGAAAGAGGTTCATCAGGGGCACAGCTGCATTAAAGGAATATAGGTGTTTACAGAGTATGGAAACATTCCACCTTGTGGACCCTCATGCCTGCACGGGGGATGCAGACAATTAGAGGGCAGGGTTCCAGGGTTACAGTGGGCAAAACATCTGTGGGCAGCAAGTTGGGATCTTGTTTGCTTGCCCCTCATCCTGGTGGGGGTCTCTCCATAGGACTTCCATCTTATCTAGATGAGGAGCTCCAAACCATGCTTCAGGAATTCAGGCATCAAATCTTGCAGTCAATGGGAGGTAAGGGGACTCCTTGGGGGCACAAAGGGTAGAGTTACCCCCAGCTTCTGGAGACTATAGACCTGAAAAACAAGTGTGAATCTGCAGGTTTGGGATAAGGAATGATGCTTTCCTTTTCTGAAGTCTCTAATGGTCCAGAAAAGAGAGAAGTAGACATGCTCCTAGGAGAGCATGTTCTCTGCCCATCCTGCTTTCTATTGCATGCCAGAAAATTTCCCAGTTCCTGGCAATAAGTAAATGTTAAGGAGATGAATGAATGAATGAATGAAAAGATGGATGGATGAAAGCAGAGAGAGGAATTTATAAAACTGATTGGAAGAGGAAGGGAAGGAAGAGAGAGGCAGAGACAAAGAGATTGGAGACAGCCTAATGGTAGAGACCCCGAGGAAGCAAGATGGATGTGGAGACAGAGATTGGTGGCCTAACCCAGATTCCTCTGCTCTTAGTCCTCAGCTTGCAGGGGTCCATGCTGGCAGTTGGAAAGAAGATCTTCTCCACCAATGGGCAATCGTTCAACTTTGATGACATTAGTGAGTCTTGTGCCAAAGCAGGTGGCAACGTTGCTGCCCCAAGGAATCCAGAGGAGAATGAGGCCATTGCAAGCATTGTGAGGAAGTACAACACTTATGCCTACCTGGGCCTGGTTGAGAGCAACACTCCTGGAGACTTCCGTTACCTGGATGAGACCCCTGTGAACTATACCAACTGGTATCCCGGGGAGCCCAGGGGTCGGGGCAGAGATAAGTGTGTGGAGATGTACAAAGATGGGACATGGAATGATAAGAACTGCCTACAGTACCGTTTGGCCATCTGTGAGTTTTGAGCAGACATTTAGGCCACAGGGTAGACAGGATCCTGCATGGCAGCCTCCAACAAAATTTATTTTTAAATTTAAATTTCAACAAAATGTATTTGTGATTATTTGATCCAAAGGCATTCTTAATCACTTCATTCCACAGATAGTTCCTAACTCTTCTCCTATAATCACTAATCCTTGACACTGCCCTGGGAGCCCCTTCTCAGCACTGCAACTTAGGTATCCACTCCCGACCTTGAACTTCACTATGAGAAGTGAACAATTTGTTCTTCATCTTCTCCAGTTTTTTCCATTTATAAATGGCAACCATGAGGCCTCAAGTTAGAAAAATCCTCTAAAATCACAGAGTGCCTGCTTCCTGCTCCTCTAATCTTCCCCTGAAACTCTCCCCTTTCCCAGTCCCATGAAAATTTAGAAATCTTGGTTAAACACAGTGATAAAGATAGACTTCCAGAAAATTACAAATGTGAGGAGCGAAGGTCACCTTCAGGATTACTCAACAACCTGGTTCTCTGGGGCATACCTGCTCTCTTCCATGAGGTTAGAGAGCCAGAGGGTGGCCCAGAATGGAGATGATAGAACTTAGTCTTCCAGACTGGTAAAAACTCCCTTGAGTTTTAGGGTTCCTGCTCAACCACTGATCAACAGAAACCAGCCTAGGCCTCTAATGAAGAACCTTCCCACCCCAGGCCTGACCAAAGTAGCTTCCTGCTGATCCCCACCTCACCTCAGATCTCCATGAGGCATTTACACTATCAACCCCAGCACTGGCTCTGCTTTCTTCTTTAATTTCATTCAATCAGGATTTCATTAAAATCAACTGTGCATAAAATCGTGGGCTCTGTCTTGGTGTGGGTAAAGGTATCCTGTACCTCTTTGGGATATTTAATTTTCCTGAGCCAATTTCTTCATTTTGAATGAAGATAAAATATTTGTTGCCATTGCTCCAACTACTCAAATCACTATCATAACTGCTACTACTACAAAATGGCACAGTTTCTCAAGCACAAACTATGCACCAATCACCTTGACAGACACTTGTAATGCTTCTTATGAAATGTTATTTAATCTTTAACAATTTCATGGGAACAGCATTATTTTTCCCATTTTTAAAATGAGAACATGGATGCTTAGCAAAGTCAAATGTTTTGACTATTACAATGAAGAGCAAATGGCAGAGGTTGGATTCAAATCCATCTACTCCACCTGAACCTCATATTCATAATCACCCCACCATTGAGCTGAGTAGAGATGACTTAAGTGCAATAAATTATGAATGTGTTAACATGAATTTCCATTGCTTTAGTTTCATTTCTTTTTATTTATGTAAATGAAGTGAGTTCTGCCTCTGAGCCCCGACTTGCCCGAAGAATGAAAAATCCAATCTTAGGATATGCTTTCTTTGTTTGGTGGGTGGAACAAATTGATCTTCTCCTTCAGGCTGTACACAGGAATGGGGGCTACAGAAACATCTGAAAGAACATATAGACATCAGTGTTGGCTGCCAGTGTGTAGATAATTCCTGGTCTGAGTCCACAATGCCCATTTGCAGTTGGTGACATCATGCCTTCCATACTTCACTTAGTCACCTGGATGTTTTCTGCAGCAGAATGTTGGAAGTGGCACTCAGGGCATAGTCCCAGGTCTTGTGTCAAGTCTGCAGGAATGGGACTATGCCTCATGCCCCAGGGACACATGGGAATGGGACTGTGTCCCATGAGGGGCAACCACGTAAATATCTTGTCTCTAGAAAGGCTCCCCCTTCTCCCACCCTCACACTTTGAACACTCTTTCTCACTGCATGAATTCTTTCCCTGAGCAAAATTTTTACATCAAAACCCCAAAGACAGGTGGGAATAGAATGTTATTTCTTATTCTATGATGAATATTGGTTTTAAAGCTAATTATCCTCCCATATGGACTCAGAATCCAGCATACAAATTATAGAGTCTTACTATCACAATATCAAATTTAATTTTTTTTAAATCAAGGAAGCTTTTTAAAATATAAACTATCTAAGCCTCTGAAAATTCATATATCCTTATTTATCAAGGAAGCTTTTCAAAATATAAACCAAGTCTCTGAAAATTCATATATCCTTATTTTTTATTAAATTTATTTATTTTATGATTTTATTTGATATTGTTACTATGGTATTTTAAATCACATTTTAAATTAATAATTGCTTGTTTGTGAGAAAACTTGTCTTATTTTTTAATTCATATTACACCCAACCATCTTTTTGGATTCTCATTCCCCCCCCCAATACTTCTGAAATAATTGACTCTTTTATGTTTTATAAATATATGATTATATTTACAAATGATGGAAATTTTGCTCTTTTCTTTATGGTATTCATAATTTGAATTTTTATCTTTTGATAGGGTCCAGGAGCCCCTATACATTGTTGAAGAGATCCAATGACAACATGAGTTTCTTATTGTGACATGGGAACATTTTCAATATTTCACAATTGAAAATACTGCTTGTTCTAGTTTCTGATAGATACCTTGTAATTTTTTATCATGACTGTGTATTGAACTTTATCAGATGATTTGTGGCATTTCCTTTAGTCTCTTCACAGTGTGTAAGGGGTGAGGTGAGCCATTTCTCGTTTCTGCTGATTGACATCTGGAGTGCACAGCTGAGATTGACAAGTTCCAAGTGCCTCATATTTTAAACCTGGAGAAATACCCCCAGCATCCACTTCTTGACCTGAAAGAAAGGAACTATGCAGTAGAATTGGTTTAATAATTCTATTATTTCTTTGGTCAGCATAAGGATTGAAAAGGGAAAGGAAGGTGACCCACCTTGGGTAGCACCTGTGCTCTCACAGTGGAAATTATCCTTTCCCTTCCAGGACACCTAAGGCAGGTACAGGAGATCATTCCTTATTCTAAAAGTATTGAAGTGCTAAACCAACAGAGAGCCTTATTTTGCTGAGTCATGGAGAAAAAAAGAAAAGAGGAAGGATACAATTGTGAACAGGAGTGTTCTGGGAAAACTTGAGTGGTTTCTCCAGGGCTATGTGAATGCCTTTGTCACAGAAAACTATCTGTGGTTTAAACTCTGTTCATGAGCAAGTTGCTCCCTAAAGCACAGGGGCACCAGCAACAAGACCTCTGGACTGAAGTGTCCACTGACAGGGTAGTGGCCACAGAGCAGGAGGCTCTCAAAGTCCATTTCCTGAGAGGAGCTGTCATTGTAAGCAGCCATTCCAGAAACTTGAGAACCAGTCAGTGTAGGCTGAGAGCAGCTGTGTCCCCACTGATACGTGGCTGCTCATGGGAGCAGGGAGCGTGCACCTTTGACATCAATGTTCTCTCTATTCTCTACCTATCTAAAGATTCAAGAGAGGAAGCTGCTACCCACCCTTGACATCAAGAAGCAACAGCATCAAACCTAGCTATCACTCCATGGCCCTGGTGGTGAAGAATCAGACATTGACGAGAGAGAGAGAGAGAGAGAGAGAGAGAGAGAGAGAGAGAAAGAGAGAGAGAGAGAGAGAGAGAGAGAGAGAGAGAGAGAGAGAGAGAGAGATTGAGAGATCTTAATGACAAAACCAGGAGACAAAAATAATTTGTGTTTTAAATCAACCATAGAATCATTTCAAGGATCTGGGAAGAACATTTCCAAAGAATTTGAGACAGGGGCTGGGGATGTGGCTCAAGCGGTAGCACGCTCTCCTGGTATGCGTGCAGCCCGGGTTCGATCCTCAGCACCACATACCAACAAAGATGTTGTGTCTGCCGAGAACTAAAAAATAAATATTAAAAGTTCAAAAAAAAAAAAAGAATTTGAGACCATGTACTAGTTTGGAGAACAGGATGCACTCCAAGCTTTAAGTTAGTGTATATCTAAATTGACGTTTTTAATAAAATTTGTTACATATTAAGTCAATGAATTATTTTGATTTTTGTTTTGGTGTTGAACTATCCTTGCATTCCTGGGATATCTCCTACTTGCTCTGATGGCTGATACTCTTATCACAGTTACTATGTGCAGAGGCTATACTTATGTTCATCTATGTAATCTTCATTATCTCTGATCTATAGATGCTATTATTTTCCCCAATGAAAAATAAGAAAATTTGAGGCACATTGAGGTTAAATTGATTTTTTCAAGATCATACAGTCAATCCATGGGCTTATAAAGACAGAAAGTCAGATTCCAAAGACTATGCTATTAATTATCAGTACACTTCTGGACTTAAATAACTACTTTTTAAAATTGTGTTTGTTTGCATTTGTGCTAATATATTATTATTGTCTAAGAGTATACTTTTTTGTCAGGTCTTTATTCATTATGATTTAAATGTTTAGCTAAGCCATTTATATGAGAGAGGATTATCTTTCTCTGAAGATTTGGTAACACCTTAAAACCTTTTTTTTTTAAAAAAAAAATAAGAATAGTGGATAACTTTTTACTTCTCTTTCTTTGTGATTTATATGTCATTCTAACACTTCTTGGGCCAATTCTAAATTGCTTATTAACATCTATTTTCTAGTTTGCAATCATGTTGCTATGAAAATACATTCTATAAAAAATTTGTACATAGTATATTTTTTAATGTCAATACTGTCCATATTGTCATATTCTTCTCTTTTCCTTCCTGATTTATTTCTTATACTTTTCCATCAATCATTGCAACAATAAATCTGTATCACATACATTTTTGGTTGTTGCTCTGAGTCTTCCATTTTGCTGGGCTTTGGCTGATCTCAGCTGAGCTTGCCAGGACTCAGCACAATGGGTTGGACCCAGGGCTTTCAGGTGAGTTCATGTCTATTCTGCATCACGTAATTATTCTGATATTAATGGCTTCCAGGGACATATTCTTCCCATGGTTGGGAAAGAAACACAAGAGGCCACATTAACTTACAAGCACACTTGAGGCTACTGTTCCCTTCCTATCTACTCAGAGTCACAGGGCCAAACCAAATATCAAAGGGGCTAGGTTGTTTACTCCACATACTCCAGTGGGAGCCTCTACAAAGTACTTTAGCAAACAGCTTGGATTTATAATTCTATTCTAAGAAGGAAGTTAAAATTGGAAACAATCATCCAAACTACCACAGTCATCTTTGCCAAGTTTATGGGTATTTTTTTTTTGCATTTTATTTCATTATTTCATTTTATTTCATTACTAGCTCTATTGTTTTTTCTTTTCTTTATTTCTTTATTTTAATTTATATATGACAGCAGAATGCATTACAATTCTTATTACACACATAGAGCACAACTTTTCATATTTCTGGTTGTATACAAAGTATATTCACACCAATTGTGTCTTCATACATGTACTTTGGATAATAATGATCATCACGTTCCACCAGCATTTCTGACCCCATGCCCCCTCCTTTCCCCTCCAACCCCTAGTTTTTTTCCTTCTTATTGTTCATTAATTTAATTTAAATTTATCTTTAATTATATATTTTTAAACATACAGTTGCCCCTTAGTATCTATAGGAGATTGATTCCTGGTCCCTACAGGTATCAAAATCTGCAGATACTTCTATGTATATATATAGTATTTGCATACAATTTATGCATATCCTACTGTGTACTTTAAATACTCTCTGTATTACTTATAATACCTAAGCCCATGTAAATAGTTGATTTACTGTATTGTTTAGGGAACAATGATAAAAAAATTTTTGTATATGTTTAGACATTATATATATATATATATATATATATATATATATATATATATATTTATTTATTTATTTATCTATCTGTGATTGGTTGAATCTGCAGATGCAGATGGATAGTGAGAGTGGCTGTTTATTATCTATTGTATGAAGTCCATAGTCCTTGGAGGACTATTTATGGGGCTTGCTGTCTCTGTCAACTCTCATTCTGCTTATTTCCAACTTATTTGAGATTTTTTACAAGGTGAATTTAAATTTACCTCATCTCCATTTAAGAAAGCCCTGTGGTATCTGGGTTGATGGTAAGGTTCTCCATTGCCTGTATGTCTCCACTGCACTAGGTGTGACAAGCTGGGACACGTAAAGCACAGTTTTTCATCTAGGAATAAATACAAAATCCAGTAATAATAATAAAGAATTTTAATAGTAATAAGTTCACTAATTCCTGGTGCCTGGCAGGCTCTATGTAACAGGGAGAGCTACTGAATGGGGTACGGTGACTTGAGTATACATGAGCTGTCGGCCCTTAAGAAGCCAAAATGCCAATCATAATACAGAATTTAAGGTAAATGACCTGACCTTGCTCCCCACCAGGAAAAAAGCAAACTTCTCGGGTTGTTTGGTCAAAGTGTTTCAAAGCATTAGTGTGAATTTGGGTGAAGGCAGGCATCAAAGGTCACATTAGGAACTTGGTCATTTGATCAGAGTCCAGCAATAAGCAGTGGATGCTTCCAGACAGCGTGGCCTGTAAGAGCCACAGCCTAATCTGGCACATGCTCCTGCTCCAGGTCTCTGCTTCTTTCCTTGCTCTCTTACTGGGTGCTTCCTATGTGCCCAGCCTGGGCTGTACCATGGGGACAAGGAATTGAACTGGACACAGTTCTTGCCCAAGAACAGTAACAACACAGGTGAAGTGGACACAGAAGTTAGCTCTAGTCAGAGAAAAGCCAAGAGTGCTGCTCTGAGGACACAGTGCTATAGTTTACAATTGTTCCATCTATTTTTCTTAAGCACTGGCAGTTTGTAACCACTGTCCTAGGTGGACATGCATCAGCTGTGAGAAAGATGCCAGCTCATGAAACTCTCATTCTAAAGGGGTAAGGTGGTCATAAGCAGGTAACCAAATAAACAACAAAAATTCACACAGAGAAGCAGAAAATTAGAGCAGAGAATCATTATTTATCAACATGCATACTTAAAATTTAATGGTTAGGAAAGACCTTTCTCCCAAGACAATATTTAAGATGAAATCTGAATGACAGCAAATGACAATTCAAAGACAGAGGCAAGTGTCTGGGCAGAGAGGCCAGTTGGTGCAAATGTTCACATTCAGTTTTGAACTTAAGTTGTCTGCAAATATGTCTTCCCCTTGTCCTAGCTCTGTTTCAGGTCCCAAGAAGATATTTGACAAATTTCCTGGATGATGAGGGAAAAGTGAGTTTACTCAGGGTTATAGGTCTCTCATGTCTCCACCCTGGCCCTGCAATAAATGAAACCCAAATGAAGGGATGAGAACAATGGATACAGAGAAGTATGCTAGTGTGTGCATGTGTGTGTGTGCATGAACACATGTGTTTGTCTGGTATAACATCTGTGCATGTTAGTTTTGGAAATAAATATCTAGATGGAACTGTGATGAGAGCTTGTGACTCTATACTGACTGAGCTGTACGAATGGATGTGTAGGTGGGACAGGTGAAGGAGGAGTTGGTTTACTATAGAGACACTGCCTAGAACTGTTCTGGAGACCCCACCAGCAGCCCAGGAGAACTACCTAGTTATAGCAGCTCCAAGAATGGTTGTTTATTAGAATTTAATTTTATTTTCATTTATTCATTAATTTTTTTGCAGTGCTATGGGTGGCATCCAGGGCCTCATATATGCAAGGCAAGTGTTGTACTGCTAAACTACATCTCCAGCCCAGGATAGTTGTTTATTAATCTGGGGTTGAAGGCCAGGCCAGTGTGGTTCTTGGTCACCAGCCTAATTGGGCCTGACATTGTTGAGGCAGCTGCCAGAAGCCTGAGCTGGAGGGTTCCCTTCCCTGCATTGCCTCTGTGCTGGGTAAGTCATTTCTGGAGGAAAGAGGTGGAGACCTGGGCCTACAGTCTGGCTTCATGGCTTGAACCTGGTGAGGACTGAGTAGAAGCTTTAGAAGGGTCAATAGGCCCACCTGGGCTTCTGACTCTATGATCCAAGGCATCTGTGTCTTTCTTGGATCCACTTGACCATCTGCAAGCTAAAGGTGGTCTTTTCCAAAGGAAGTGATGAGTGGGGTGTGAATGCACCAGTACCATATAGAAACCTTGACTGTGGACTCCAGGACCAACAGGAAAGGAAGGAAGGAAGGAAGGAAGGAAGGAAGGGAGGGAGGGAGGGAGGGAGGGGAAAGATGTCAAAGTATTGATCACAGGGGTTCCCTTCCAACCAGACCTCTCTCCAACTGGTACTGGAGAAGGGAAGGTGAAGGGCCCTGACAGGCCAGGGGAGGCAAGCACAGGTAGCAGCATATGCTGACTCAACAAAATGAGATGATTTTTTTCCCTTGACTTTCTCCACTCTGAGGTAAGGACCATGTTCCTGTTTCCATTACTCCCTGTCTTTCTCCTGAGTGTGGTGACAGTGGCCTCAGAAACAAAAACATGTGAGGATGCCCAGAAGACCTGCTCTGTGATTACCTGTGGGATCCCTGTCACCAACGGCACTCCAGGCAGAGATGGGCGAGATGGACTCAAGGGAGAAAAGGGAGAGCCAGGTACATGACGGGTTGCTCTGTCTTCCTGAATGTCGCCAGCAAGGGACTGTTCCACATGAGGGATGTAGCAGAGACCTGGGGAGGCTCAGCTTTTATTATGGTGGATATTAGTGCACTTGACTAGTCCCTATAACACATCACTGCCTTCCAAACAAAGGTGCTCTCTGGCTCTCCAAGATCCCACACTTCCATAGAAATCGGGGGTGTGTGATTGCCTTCAGGACAGCCTTCTTGCCCCTGGATGCAGAAGCACTTTCTTCTCTGCGTCACTACTAGTTCCCTGGTTCTTTCCTGGGGTCAGTGTGAATCAAGTGTTGAGCTCTTAGAGAGGGAAAATGAATAATGATCATGGGTCATTGTTCCTTGCTTTGTAACAGGTCAAGGGCTCAGAGGTTTGCAGGGCCCTCCAGGGAAACTGGGGCCTCCAGGAAATATAGGGGCGCCTGGGGCTCCAGGACCAAAAGGCCAAAAAGGAGATCGTGGAGATAGTTCGGGTAAGGAGCACACCCCAGTAAGATCTGGGAACTAATAAATAAAAAAAAAAAAGAAATTTGTGTATTTAAAACAAAAATAAATAAATAAACAAACAAATAAATAAATAAATAAATAAATAAAAACAAAAGTTATATTTCAACCAAAAAATTATTACAACATTATCATAAGCAAAAGGTGAAGAAAAGAATCTAGGATTATAGTCACAAGTTGCTAAGGGTGACTAAGTCTATTAGTCAACTTTTCTTACTGTGAGAAAATCAACCTAAAGTAGAAAAGACTAATTTGGCCCATGGTTTTAGAGGAGTCCCATCTGTGCTCTCAGCTCCACTGTTTCTGGGTCTGTGAGGAAGTAGAACATCATGGCAGAAGGGTGTAGTGAAACAAAGCTGCTCACCTTATGGCAGCCAGAAGCAAAAAGAGAGGGAGGGAGGAGTGGGGACAAGATATGTCCTCAAGGACAAAGCCCCCAGTGACCTACTTCCTCCTAAAGTGTCCACTCTCCCCCAATAATGTCACCAACTGGGGACACTCCAGATCCAAACCATAACATCAAGATATAACTGGGAAGACGGAAATAAAGTTTTTTTTTTTTTTTGCTTCATTTTGATTTCTTTTTTTTTTTTTTTTTGCAACAAGCTTACATTTAAGTAAGCCAAAAAAAAAATCCTTTTCCAAAATATTCTGTTCTCCAATTTGAGGTCTTCTTACTAAATACCCTTGTCTCTATTGCTTTGCAGCTGCTGAGACTAAACTGGCTAACTTAGAGAGAGAGATAAGGAACCTGAAATCAGAATTGGACCGCATCAAAAAGTGTAAGTCTTTTCTCTGCCCCCAACATGTACTTGACCCTCACTTTTTTCTTCAACATGAACTATATTTGGAGGGAGAGTGGAAGAGAACTAACACTTAGGAATACTCAATACATACCAGGGTCTGTGCTGGGTTGCCATTTTCCTGTAATAGAGTTTCATTCAATCCCCTCACCAATGTTAGTTGTGGTTGTTATATGTATTTTGTCTGCAGATGAGGAAAAAGAATTTCAGGAAGCATAGGGAACTTATTCCACATCACACTGCCAGCAAGGGGCAGAGGAAGAAGTGAAGAGAGATCTGTTGTCTCCAAAGTCTTTGCTCCTTTCTCGACATCCACTGTTCCTACATGGTTGTTGGTGTCTGATCCTGTCAGTGAGGCCCAAACATGTCTTCTCTGTCCACCAAGTGCCAGGGTAGTTTTTAACCAATGTAGGTCTCAAGGATGGGATATGGCTGTCTGCCAGAGGTTGTGTCCCTTCCATGACTCTACAGCTGGGAAGTGGCCTCCTCATAGTCTCTGACAGAGGGCATTAGCTTGGGCATGGTACTATTTTTTAGAGTCCAGTTCCCAGAGAAGGGCTTTTTCACCTACTGTCCTGAGCTGGGCTCCAGTCAGCCTCATCTACTCTTTGTGATTTCAGTGCAAGCCTTCTCTTTGGGCAAAAAGTCTGGAAAGAAGTTCTACGTGACCAATGGTGAAAATATGCCTTTTTCCAAAGCGAAGGCTTGGTGCACAGAGCTCCAGGCCACTGTGGCTGCCCCCAAGAATGCTGAGGAGAACAAGAACATCCAACAGGTGGCCAGAGACAATGTCTTCCTGGGTATCACAGATGAGGTTACAGAAGGCCAGTTTATGTATGTGACAGGAGGGAGGCTAACCTACAGCAACTGGAAGGCGAAAGAGCCTAATAACCATGGCTCAGGGGAGGACTGTGTGGTTCTCTTGAAGGATGGACTCTGGAATGATGTTTCCTGCTCATCCTCCTACCTGGTTGTCTGTGAGTTCCCAGCCTAAAGCACCTCATTTCTCTGGCCCTTCCTTGTCTCCCTGCTGAGCTCTATGCTGCTTCAAAAGAGAATTCAGTGCTGGTTTCCCATGGTTAGAGTTAAGTCATTCCTGTTTGGAGAAGGAACTAGAGTGAAGGAGGCATATTTAATCGTGGGATGGGGAAATGGCAGAAGCTAACTATGGGGCACAAGGATCTGGTCCAGCCCAGGGACATTGTCTTATCATAACAGTACTGAAGTAGATTCAGCCATTGAAAGGGCCAAATAAACTCTCTTCTTTTACAGTGAGGACACTCAACCTGCCAGAGGGACCCGTGGAGTGCCATACCTGTGTTAGAATAGATAGTAGATCTCAGGGACAAAGACATCCAATTCCTACTTTCCAATAATTGCACTCCTTGATGCCAAATTCTCCTTTCCTAAACCCTTCCCCAGGGCCAGCCTAGCACCCTCCATGCTATGGATATTGTCTCTTGGTTTCATGAGTCACCCCCGGGCACCTTCCACTTTCTGACTATAATATCTGGCAATATCCATATGAGTGACAACTATTAGTCCTAAGAATCCCCTTACCCCACTCAACTTCCTGTGGCTTTTCTTTAGCCACCAGAGTGAACTTGAGGGCAAAGAACATCGTTTCCTTCCTGCATAATTTTAAGGGGATGATTCAGCATCATACCAGCAGCATGGGAGGAGACAATTGCAGGGTGTGCCCTTCTCACAGACATTGTTAGTCTCTGTCCCCACTGTCCCTTCCTTTCATGGTAACATTCTATCTCCATTGTGGGTCAGTGTCCCATTATTAGTATACACAAGAGGACAAACTCTCCCCAAGTGAGTTCTACACCCTAAGGGTCAAATTCTGCAGGACCAGCCAGTCAGCAAATGCAATCTCCTCTGAGCAGCGTTCTGCTGTGGTTTTGGCTCATGATTCTGCTTAACCATGGAGGTTTTTCAACTACCTCAGAGTGAGGAGATCTGAGATTTCAAAGCATCTATGCAGCAAACCAGGAGAAGAGGATGAATTGCAACTCCAGCTGCATGCCCATCACAAAATGAGATTGGAAAATAATTCATAAATGGAATAAGGGCCACTTTCACTTAGTGAAAAGTTTTTGGTAACCTTTGTTTTCTGCTTTATTTCTCTTTGTAGCTGAACTACCAAGAGAAGCCCTCGGTGGCTAATAACTGCTAGACTAATATTTGTTAAATGAATACATCAAAGAATTATAAATGAACAAATGGATTGGCTACCGAGAAGTGACTGTCAGGCCATACTTCTTCCTGCCAGGAGGTAGGGGTGGGGGACCTTCTGCAGAGCTGTCCAGGCAGGCGTGGGATTTGGATTGGGACATGCTGAAGGTACTGGGGCCAGCAGGGTAAAAGTGATAAGACTTTTGTCCTTGGCCTCTAGCACACCTAGACTGTAACATTACCAAATTTTCTTTAGCTACTGTGATTGGCAGTAATGAAAACATTTTTGTGAAATACAGCAGAACAATTCACTACTTTTAATTGAAATCCAGGCTACTTACCAATGGCATTGGAAACTGCTTAAAACTTAGAGGCACCTATGAAACCATGTATTAAGAAAAATAGAAAAAGGAAAGACTAGAGACTTTTTAGAAAATGAAAAATATATATGTGTGATGACCCAGAATGACTGTAACCGGAATATAAGTTTCACCTAAATTTTCTCACAGCTACAACAGCTAAATTTTCTCACAGCTACAATAGGTAACTCTTACATAATTCTTTCTTATTTATGGTAAGGGTGAGGGGTTGTTATGGTATACCCAAGACGAATGTCCCTTTGGTTATACCGTGCACAAAGGACAGTCTCTATGCTATAAAACTGCAGAAGATGCAGTTTTGTCAGCTGCAGGGATGGTTTCCCAACAGGTGAGGGTCACTGGCTCAGTTCCGGAAATGCAATAAAAACTTTTAGGACAAGCTCAAGCTCTTCTGTTGTCCTCTCAGTCAGTTTCTGTTTATTTTGTCTCCCAGCCCCCTTCCTCCTGCATCCCTCCACTACTAGAGCTTCACATTCCTGCCCCAAGAGTTCTCTCTGCCACAGGGACTCATCCTCCTTCTCTCCTGCCCTATCCCTGGCCACTTAGAGAGTCCCTGATGGTACTCTCAGCCCACCCTGCAGGGCATGCAGTTTTCTCAAATGGATAGAGCTTGTTCTTCCCCGGATCCAGCAGTTGATGGTCCTTTCAGAGCTCCTCTCTCTATATGTCTACCCCCTTCCCACCACCATTTTGACCTCAACCTAGAACTCTCTCTCTCTCTCTGTATTCACTTTCCAACGGACCCCTATCAGATAGCTTTGGAGAAGGTAAGTTCATCTTAAAATATGGAATTCTTGTAAGAGTCCAAAGATAGAAATTACAGTTCACCCAGGCCTCCCAGCATACCTAGAACAAGAAAGAAATGATGGGTTCAAGGTATCCCTCCAGTCTCTTTTCCCCTCTCCTCCAAAGGCTGAAGGCAGATGGTTCTTTACTAAAGGATGTACAATGATTGACATCTCTTGCATACCATTTTAGTCAGCTTTTGCATTGCTGTGGATAAAATTGCCACTTGAGGAGGAAGTTTATTTTGGCTTATGGTTTTACAGGCCTATGGTTGGTCTACTCCATGGCTCTGGGCCGGAGGTAAGGCACATCATTATGGCAGAAGGCATGGTGGAGGAAAGCAGCTGAGGACATGGTGGCCAGGACACACACACACACACACACACACACACACACACACACAGAATACTCTGCTCACCAGGGGAAAAAACAAACAAATCCCAAAGGTATACACCCGAAGTGACCTACTTCTCTAAACTACTTGCCTTCAGTTACCATTGTAATCCATATTAATGAATAAACCCACTGATTAGATCATACCTCTCATAATCTGATCATTGCACCTCTGAAAATTCTTAAATTGTCTCACACATGAGCTTTTGGGGAACACTTCATTCTACACCATAACACATACCAATGAAGCTGGAAACTCCAAGAACAGATATTAAGGGACCACAGGCAGCATGTTCTCCTTGAGAATGTGGGAATGGAGATGACTGAGAGGAATCTTTTGAGCCTCATTGTTCTAATGGAATAGGTGTCTCTGCTACCCATTTTCCATGCTGGAAATGTTTTTGGAACAGGGAGCTGGCAGACACCTCTTAGCTTCGGTCTTTCTTTGCTGCTCTTTGCATAGAGTGAAAACCTGGTGGTCATGCTGCAGAGCATTCTTGGAAAGGAAGTCAGTGTTCAGAAGTCTATGAAGCTTAGACTCTGGCTCTGGAGCCATTTCCAGGGGGAGAAAAAGGCACAGGTCACTGTGTACCATATTAGGGTTGAAGAAGAGATGGTTTCGTAGGTGGAAAGTTCCAAGTTTGGAAGCAAGAGACTGTTGATCGAAGTTAACTCCCTATCGATGATGCACTGAATCGTATGTTGACTTTCTGGGCCACAGTTTCCCAGGCTTTACCTCAGTCTCTAAAGGGTTCTGTCTTCAAAAGCTATAGGAACCAGTGGTCACATATAGATGCAGACTGCAGGATCATTTCAGGAATAGAGTTGCAGGATCTGAAATCTGCTTTCAGTTTTTATTGCCTAAGCTAATTGTGGGGTAAATACCAGCTATTTCTGAAGTCTATAGAAAACCAATCTGGGTGAGTGATATTGGCCAAATTATAGTGTTATATTTTGTAACATGTGCATGCACAGATATGTAACAAACAATCCCATCAGAATGTACAACTAGAATGCACCAATAAAAAATGTGGGGGAAAAAAAGAAAAGAAAAGAAAACCACTCCGGGTAAGTTGGAAGGGCAAATACAAATCATCCATGAGTTGGAGACTTTGGGCTTAAATTGTGTCTGTGAGTCCATGTTGTTCTGTGGAAGCTGAAACATGACCAGTATGACCATAATTACCAAAGCTTGTAACATTCAAGGCCCAGATTCCATCCCAGGTTCCAGATCCTGGAATTTCAGGGACTTGATCCTACAGGACAATCTTCCTTTGATGTTCTACAACTCTTGCTTCTGACACCTTTGGCCTTGCTCCACCCAGAGATGGGGACTCAGGGTAGCAGCTGACGCCTGCCATTCATGTCTGTCAGATCTCCTTCCCTTCAGGGGTGGGCAAATCTTCTTTCTCTGTGGCTGCCTGAAATTGATCAGTGCCAAGAGTCAGGCTGTGAACTATAACCCGCCTCCATCCASGTCATATGACATGCTGAGCCTCTGACTTGGGAGGTTGTTTGCTTGTTATTATGTAAATGATCTGTGCTTTGGTAACTGCCAGGAATCAGAGGTTTCTTTTTCTTTCTTTCTTTTTTTTTTTTTTCTTTCTCATTAACCAGGAATAGATCTGATGTTATCAAGTGGCTGGAGATGTCAGGAAGTGGATTTTGTAAAGTGATGTTGTCCTAGTAACCCTGAGTGGCTGATAGATTCCCAGTAAAGCAGGAGGAGCTCAGGACAGGAGGCCATCTGGGAAGGGTTCTTCTGACCCTGGTGACCACTGTGTGGGGAGGGCGCAGAGCCTCTAAGAAGGAAGTGGTGGTTTGTCCAGGCAAAAACAATTTTCATGTTTTAAAGAAATAGGGTGCAAGTAGCCCTTTACTAACTAAACAAAAGCTTCAGGCTAGCCACTGCCATGCCACAGTCTCACCTGCCTTTTCCTGGCAGGTGAATGGTTTGTGCCACCTCATGTGGCCCTTCAGCATAGAGACCAGAATTGACGGGAATGCTTGATAAAATTGTAAGATCTAGTTCCATTCTGGACCCAGTGAATTAAAATATCAGAAATATTCATCTTAGTGAGGTCCTCAGGTGATCTGGAAGTTTGGCCAGTTTTGGAAATCACTGCCCCAAGAAATACAATCGCCATAGGGGCTTTCTGCCTGCCTTTCACTCTCACAGGGTGACTGTTATGGGGGGTCACCCCAGAAAGCACTCTAAGTCTAAATTCAGATCAAAAGAAAGCTTTATTTACCTGGCCAGAAACTGTCACCCACCGCAGAGACTCAAGCTCTCTGGGAGGACAGCAGCTTCCTGGTCCATCCAAAGAGAATATAAGCACAAAAACCACAACTCAGTGACTTGCTCATCGTCATGTAAGCTAGCCAATTATAGAAATTAAAACATTAATAAGTGGGACCTGTGGGCTCTAGGCAGGACTGGAATTTTCCAGCAAGCAAGTGGTAAACAGAAGCAAAAAAATCATTAGCTTTGCAGTTCAGTTGACCACAGTCCTGGGTTCAAGCAGGTGCTAGACAGTCGTATCCTGAATTTGGGTGGGAGTCATCGGGATGAGAATCTACTTCTAAGTCATGTAGACCCAAAAGGGCATTCACACCCAGGACGTACTCACCATGACCCTGCTGCATCCTGAGTAGGGTACAATTTGTGGGGTACAAAGTTCAGAAAGACAATTTTTATTTTTTAAAATAAGAAAACAGCTTTCATTTCAGTTTCTCAGAAACAGCTCTTGTAATAGTTTTTTTTTATAGGAGACAGCAAAATGGAGTCTTAGGCCTGTCTATGACAGTTCTTACTTTATAATAGTCTTATCAAAATCTTACATCTATAATATATATTTTTTACTAATATATAACCTATAACTTACACTCTTTTTGATTGTATTTATCAGTTTCACACCACAACAGTGACCAAGTAGCAGATGTCAGGGTTTCTCGATTCCTTGTAGGCCCATCACGAGGCAAATGGTTCTGTTTCATTTAGAGTGTCACACCTTGTTATGGTTGGGATATGATGTATCCCTTCAAAGCTCCTGTGTTAATGCAAGAATATTCAGAGGTGAAGTAATCAGATGATGAGAGTTGTAATCTAATCAGTCCATGCTAATTTGAATAGACTAAGTGGGTGGTAACTCTAAGTAGCTGGGGCATGACTGGAGAAGGTGGGTCACTGGGAGCATGCCCTGAAAGGGTTCATCTTCCCTGTGACCCCTTACTCTTTCTCTTTCTCTCTCGGTTTCCTGGACACCATGAACAACAGAGTAGCACTCTTCTATCATGCTTTTCTGCCATGATGTTCTGCCTTACCTTGGCCCAGAGCAGTGGAGTAGGCCAATATGGACTAAACATCTGAAACCATGAGCCAAAACAAACCTTTCCTCCTCTAAGTGGTTCTTGTCAGATATTTTGGCCACAG